GAGACCAGCCTGCAAGACTTGAGCTCTGTACTCACTCTGCGATCCCCTTCAGGTGACGCTAGCAGCACTTTCTCATTGCGCCTATCCGGTGACGATGCAGCTTCGAGCACCGGCCAAGCCGGTGTTTGTATTGCCCTGAGTCCCCTTGCTGAAGCTGCTCTGGTTGACTGGATTCCAATCAGGAGCCGGATGTGTGCGGTCCGATTGGCTGGCTCGTTCAAAACTTCGAAGTCGCGTGGGACTAACAGGTGTCTATTCGTTATCGCTGCCTATGCACCGATAAACTGTAGCGACGACTCGGTAAAAGACTTCTATCGTAAACTGAACGAGTTCCTTAGCCACAGAAGAAGCTCGGACACTGTAGTGCTGGTTGGGGATCTGAACGCTCAAGTTGGAAAATTATTCACTGATGAGCTGCATCTGGGCGGCCAACATGGTATAGGCTCCCGTAATGAAAACGGGGAGCGGTTACTTCATTTGTGTGAGGATGCTCGCTTATTTCTTGCGAGCACTAATTTCAGACACAGCACCCGCCGGAGGGTGACTTGGCGCCCACCAGCTTCGAACCAGCCTTGGACGCAAATCGATCACATTACGATAAGCTACCGATGGAGAGGCTGCGTCCAGAACTGTCGCTCGATTTGGAGCACGGGTGTGGACACCGACCATGCACTTGTATGTGCTGACCTGCGGATGCGCTTTGGCGGACGCCCACGACGACGTCGTGAGCGCATTGACACCAGCAAACTGGCGAATCCAGCTGTTCTGAATGCCTATCAAAGTACGCTGTCATGCGAGTTGGATAAACGCTCACTGGATGCAATTGAAGCTCACTGGTCTCATATTCACCAGACCTTACTAGCAGCAGGAAAATCCTCATGTGGTATGTCTAATCACCAGCATGGACATTGGGTCTTTTCACAGTCTCTGGAACTTATAGATGTTCGCCGGCATATTCCGACTGGAAGCGAACACAATGAAACTCGCAAAGAGCTCCGGGCAAAACTCCGTGCTAGCCTGAAGAGAGACCGCAAATCCTGGTGGTCTCATCATGCATCAGAGATGGAAATGGCCGCTGCCCTTGGTAACCATCGTAAGTTATTCCGTCTGATACGGGAAACGGGCAACAGGAGACGAGAGTGGGCAGTCTATCCACAACTTATCAAAACGCTTATAGCGTTGGGCTGAGCACTTTAAAAGCAATTTAATCGGTCGGAATGGTTAGATTTCTCGCCGGCCACTGATCGCCCCCCTCCCTGGACTGTCCCTTTGGCTCCACCCTCTCGCTCAGAAGTCGGACGTGAGACCGAACTGTTGAAGTTAAATAAAGCCGCGGGACCGGATGATCTTCTTTCAGCTCTCTTCAAATTCGGGGGACCTGCTCTTGTGGATGATTTACACGAGTTACTAGTCAGACTGTGGGAGCAGGAAACTGTCCCAACCGATTGGAGCCGCTCCGTCATAGTCCCAAATTTCAAGGGAGGCTCACGATCGGAATGCGGCAGCCATAGAGGAATCAGTCTGATCTCCATCGCCTCCAAATTGCTTGCCTCTGTCATCATTCACAGACTGACTGGCACTCGTGAAAGCCAGATTCGTGAAGAGCAAGCTGGATTTCGTCGAGGTCATGGCTGCATTGACCACATCTTCACTTTGCGTCAGTTGTTGGAGCACCGTCACATATATTGGCGGCCCACCATTGTCGTTTTCCTCGATATCAAAGGTGCATTCGATTCGGTGGATAGACATGCACTTTGGGACTGTCTATTCAGGAAAGGTGTACCTGAGAAATATGTGAATATTATCCGAGCATTATATGCGTGTAGCTCGGGCAGAGTGAGGGCTTACGGCAAGTTGTCGTCGCCCTTTAATATCTCCAGCGGCATGAGACAAGGATGCCCGCTGTCACCTTTCCTCTTCAACTTCGCTATTGACGAAGTCATGGAAATCGCGTTCACAGGACACGACTTAGAAGGTGTGGATCTGCTCCCAGGTGAACGACTTCTTGAATTGGAGTATGCTGATGATATTGTCCTAATCTGTGACAGCTCACAAACGTGTCAAGCGGCACTGGACAGATTAGCACTAGCTGTCCGTCACTTCGGGCTTTGCTCCGCACCCTCGAAGTGCAAAGTGTTCCTCCAAGATTGGTCTGGACCGCCTCTTACGCTGACCCTTGGTGGGGATCAGCTAGAAATCGTTCAAAAATTCAACTACCTGGAAAATTGTATCAGCGCCCGTGGGATTGAGGATGTGATCACGAACCGTATAGCAAAAGCTCGGGGCGCTTTTGCTAACCTTCGCCACTTATGGCGCCGGCGCGACATCACTCTTGCCCTGAAGGGTAGAGTGTACAATGCAACGGTACGTTCGACCCTACTATACTGTGGTGAAACCTGGCCGCTTGAAGCAGCGGAACTGAAGAGGCTGGTTACGTTCGACCACCGGTGCCTTCGCAATTTAGCTCACGTCTGGTGGGAACACCGCTTGAGCAACGAGCGTGTTCGACGCCTTGTTTATGGCACAGGAAAAGGAACTGAACCGCTCAGCACCATTATTTCACGCACCAGGCTCCGATGGCTCGGCCACGTGTTACACATGCCAGCCCACTGACTCCCGCGATATGCGTTGTTTGCGCGCCGGGGGTGTGGATGGAAGAAGAGGAGGGGTGGCCAAGCGATGACTTGGTCGAGAGGAATGAAGGCCCTCACTTCGGAGCTGACCTCAGTTGGAGCGTCTCGACTCCCTGGTTGGGGTCCGAAATACGATGAACACGTTTGGTTGGACACACTTGCTGATATGGCTAGGAGCCGACCTCAGTGGCGTTCGTGCTGTGAGTTTCTTTGTCCCACCCCATCCCTCTTAGCCTCCCCCTCCAACCACGATCTCATTATTTAGCATAATTTTGCATAGTAATTTTTTTATGCACAGTAGCCGGCTGGTAGCTTCCCGGAACGAAGCCCATCCGTTACCGGTAGCTCAGCCACCAGTTGCATTTTTTTCCTTTTTTCTGTGTATTGCGGCACAGTAGCCGAGGTGATCCCCACCTCTGGCTAATGTGGATGATGATGATTTTCACTCGCCGACTTTTTTCTTTTTTGTCATTTTCAATGTTGGTAGTATTAAACATGCGAATCAATACAATACTGTACACAATTCTTCCACTGATTCCGGTTGCGGGCCATATCTTCAAGAGTGCTAAGCCATTGGCACTCCTCATCTTTGGGTCCCCATCCTTGAAGACCTACCGATCCAACAGCGGATAAACACGACGTCAGCGATTTCATGTGCCGCCGCGAAGTGGAAGGCTAACCACCACGCGGTCGCCTCCAGCCAGGTCCTCTGACGAGCGAATAGAGCGCGACGCGGTAGACGCTCAGGTGCCATGCGTAAGACGTGACCGAGCCATCTCAACTGGCGCAACAAAACCAGTTTGTTGAAGGGAATACTCGCATTCTCCAAGATGCGACGTCGAACGTCATTACTATTAACTCGATGTTGCCACCAAACACGAGCGATCCTCCTTAAGCAACCGTTCCCGAAGGCAGAAAGACGACGCATGTTTTCCACGCGAATCGTCCAGGACTCACACCCATGCAACAATACTGAGCGAACTGATGCGCTGTAAACGCGGCCCTTTAGTGAGAATGAGGCGTCGCGACGACGCCACAAGTGCCTCAGATTGACAAATGCTGATCGAGCTTTAGCGATACGAAGGGAAACTTCTTTGTTGATAGTGCCGTCAGCAGAAACACAGCTCCCAAGATAGACGAAACTGTCTACCTGTTCAAGTTGTGCACCTTCGAGAGTGAGTACGGGAGCAGGTGAAAGCCAATCCTTGAGCAGTACTTTACACTTTGATGGGGCGAAGCTCATGCCATACTTAGATGCTTCAACCGCCAAACGATTCAGAATGAGTTGCATACTCTGAGGATCGTCACCAAGTAAGGCCAACTACGATGGATCGGACACGTACTGCGTATGTCCGTTCAGCGTCTTCCACGTCATGCCTTGTTCGCGGTCGCTGGACAGGGTTGGAGGAGGCGGTGTGATGGATAGCCTACAACTTGGAGAAGCAGAATGAAAAAGCTTACAAAACAGCTGGTCATGGTTGATTCCTCCCGGCTCCCTGGATGGGGTCTCAAGGATGCTGAGTGCAGTTGATTGGACATTTTGGAAGTCACGACTCCAAACCGAACTCAGTGGCGGCGTGTATCTCTGCTTGTTGCGGTGATTCCCCCCCCCAATAAAAATATCAAAAAACTCAAAAATTGTGAGTGAAACAATAGACAAAAAATTGTTTGTTTTCTTTCTTCTTTTACTCTAACCCTGTTTTCCTATTCCGCCATGGTCCCGATGACACAATATCTGCATATATATATATATATATATATATATATATATATATATATATATATATATATATATATATATATATATATATATATATATATATATATATATATATATATATATATATATGTTTGTGTGTGTGTGTAACGCCGTCTAGTGACTAGTGATTGTTAACTGTACTCAGTGAGCACCTACTCAGCTCAAATACCAACATACTTTGACCTACATTTGGAACCTCCCAGCTTCGCCAGTTCACAAATGTTTATGCTAGCATCGTCGTCGGCGTCCGTCGAAACGCACTCGCAGGTCAGCGCAAACAAGCGCCGGATCAGACTCCACGTTTTTGCTTCAACTCGAACAAGAGTTTTAGACACAGCTTCTCCAAAGGCAATTGATCGCCATGTCATCGATTTGCTTCCAAAATGGCATGTTGTGGACTCAGCAACGGAGAAGGGTAACCAAGAATGGGGGTTGAACAAATGTGGAATACAGTAATGTAACGGTTGGGCGTTAGCACGCGGTTTAGTAGGTTCGGACAAGGTTGGCATTTCCAGCGGGTAGAGAATCTTTGAAGCACCATCCCATAGGTAAGTTTCGCCGATGTACAGCAAAGGAACAGTGCATGAACTTACAAAAATCTACTATATATGCATATATATGTATGTACATACTATCTACCCCCAACCTGTTTTCAGACTACCGCCGACTCCATCGCTTCCGAGATTTTAAGTGCGTCCAGTCTCCAGCAACTCCGCACCCAAGAGCTATGTGCCCATTCGTGTACAGCCTTCTGCAAATCGCTCTTTTCGGTGAGTTATGCATCATATACCCTTCCTTTCTCCGGTTTCCCACCTACCTGCGATGTTTTTGGTCTGTTCCCTTTCGATTCTAGCTTCATTTATCTCTGCTATCTGTCATTTAGATCTTTTTGGAGTTGCATTCATGCTTTTGTCCCGTGCTCGGTCTATACACGAAGCGACCCGACATGCATGTTCCCTTAGTTTGCGCCATCGCTGGTGGCATTTGTTCGATCATCGCACTTGATTATTGTCCCTTGGTCGTCGACTTATGTGCTCGCTTTTGACTGCTGTGTAGCTTCCGCTTGTCTCCTCACATTCTGTCAACACTTGACGTCTGTTGCTCCTATTGCTTCTGAGTAATTCATTATCAGAAGAAGAGATCAGACAGGGTTGCCTGTTGATCTACTTGGTATATGGTCTTTTTCCTTATCTGTTGTGTCCTCAAATTTGCGGGCTGTTCTCTCACAGTACATTAACTTTAAATGGCTTGCTTTTGTCGTTTCTCTTACGCTGACGGTGTTTTATGGCCTCTTCTCTGATGGCGCGGGTTCGAGCCTGCGTAGGGACCGGGCGACTCGCAGTATCCTTAGCCCACGGGCGACCGGTGATGGTTGAACAGCAGCGAAGCGTTGGTACTGCGTACCGGCGTGCTGCTGATGCTATTTTTTCTTAAACCAGCTCTTCATGTGTAGACCTGGTTCTGCTCCTCGGTATTCTGCAACCTCACTAACGGTTTCTACCATTTGTCTCTCCGAGTGCCGTTATACTCATTCGTAGTTCACCATTTGTTGACAAAGTTTAGTTCATCTGAAAGCGTACCTCGGAGCTTATGTAGCAGGTCATTTGCTTTTTGAGTAACTTAGCACTTCTGGACTCTATCCTAGGCGGCACATTCGCCAAAAACCAAACCAACCAAAAGTCGTCGAGATATCACGAACTTCGCTAGTGTCCTTGTGATAAACTGTTTTTTGTTTCAGGATGATACTTCAGCAATCTTTTAGTTATCACTTACCGTGTGAGTCTCATCGCTTTGTTTTGTTACGTGCGCATTACCGCCTGCATTACTGTAACGAATTTGCCATCGGGTGCTTAGCCCTTTGACACTGCGCATAGCGTTTCTTAGCACTGAGTGGGTCAGCAGCACACAACCTGCGTTAAGAACGATCTCATCTGACCAGACCGATACAGGGAGTGTAATGCAGCGCGGATACCAGAAAGCACGAATGTCGGATACAGCGGACTGGGTTCATGATGGGCTATAGTTGTATAAGTGTGTAAAACGAACGAGAGTAAACCTCAGCTCCGTGACTCATCGGGAAAAGTGTAGATAATGAACAGAGATTCTCTGTATACGATCCGCTGCCTTGTAAGTAGGCTACTCAACCATAATTTCGGGCGGTGTCCCCTAAGTCAGCACTCTACCTCGGCTTGTACAACTGGGTAGTAAAGTGCTCTCTGACGAAACCATGGATTTCTTTGTATTTTGTCCGGTTTTTTTTATGACGGCCGTATCTTACTTTGATTTCCATGGTTTTTGATAGCTCCATGTCTATTCGTAGACTGTTGTAAATATATACGTAAGGTGAATGAAAAATCTTGAGCCTCAAAAAGCCAAACGAGATATTGCTTCTTCAGTGCTTTTATTTTTCAGAATATTCACACTCAAGCGCAACACTTGCTCCAGCGGTGTTGAAGCGTCTTTATCCCAGTGACAAAGAACTTCAGATCATGACTCTAAAAATGCTTTTACGGCTTCAATGCCTTCACTGTCAAACCCGAGAAGAAGCGTAAGCAGAACGCTTAGGGCGAACAATTTTTTTCGATTTCTTCATTACCAGGCCTCGTACAGAAGTATACTTATGAACACTCAGGTTTGTGGGACAGTATAATGACACACCATTGATTAGATAAAATTAAACTTAAACAGTTCTCGTGATAAGCGTCAGATGATCAGGTGATTAGCGGCACGTGGGATTGATGGGCGGCAGCAAATTCCTCTCGTGTGGTTGATGGCCATGGAAGTTGCAGTGCTTGAATGAGCTCCTTCTGGATGCAGAGATTTGGCTTCATCAGTCTTATACTTACTGCTTCAGCAGTAGCAAGAAGTCGTGCTGCTCACTGATGGGTCAAATGTGACGACACCTTATCCAGGATTTCGAAGGCATTACTTTTGTCAGCGTTGTGCCCCGTGACAATCAGATGGTTGGTAATTGCACTTAGATTACATCTGTCTCTGCGGTTGGTGAGCGAATTCAGTAGGTGCTTTTGTTATGATTTTCTAACTGCCTGATCGTGCTAGTTCCACAGGAGCAGGTGAATCGGTATATCACATTTGTAAAACACAGGGTTGCGAAGAGATCTCTTTCCGGTAGTTCACATCAAGCAAATACAGCTACAGCACTGATAAATGGAACAGTAAGCTGGTGAAGGCAAAAATGAGGACTTATGAAACGGTGTGAACAGATTCAGCATGTTCGTTCGATGCTCAAATTGATTTAATCAGCTGACATCGTGATAGGGTTAACAGACGGTGAAACAGCTTGTGTAAACGGCAGGTAAAAATATTTAAAATATATAAAACATTATTTGCTTACATAAATTAATAGCACCCGGCTATGCTTAATATTCCGGGGGAAGACTTATCATCAGGGCCATGACAAGGTCAAGGGTTGCACAAGCTCCTTATGTTTGCATAGCTCTGGTTGTGTTAGCCAGATCGCGATGGCTTCAGCCGTCTGCAAGAGGCATTCCCTTAACCTTTTTGGACATCGCCTCAGTACGACATAATAGACCTTGAAGACATCTTTGGTCAAAATCTGATGCCCACTTTGAAACAAATGTTACAAGATTGAGCTGTTGATACTTGTGACCGTGCCTCTCCGCAGTGACCCTGGACAATGCTCCGCCATCCGTACCGACAGATGCCTGATCGTATGTCCGAGGTACTTGGCACCACAGGTGAAAGTAAACTGTTAACCAATGTACGATTCAGACGACACTGGCAGTTTGTCTTTAAAACGTTGAGCTATAAAGGGTGCGGTCTCCGCAAGTACGTGCGGGTGGGCGTCTGGCTAGGTCCTTGCTACGGCATTAGAAAGTCTCCTGATCAGTAGATCGCAGGCGATATCCCTTAAAAGGAACAGAGAGAAACACATCCTTTTTCGAAGCCGTTGCTACGGACTTAACGCGCTCACGGGTCATGGTGTGCTTTTTGATGAATGGTTCAGGGTAACCATTCGTAAGAAGTGATTTCACAATTCGGTCCTTCGAGAGTTTCCGGATTACAGATGTTCATGGCTCGGAAATACAAGCAACGCACTAAGTTGCGTTTGGACTTAAGACGAAGCTCGAAAAGTGTGTGTACTGTCCAACCCATGTAACTTTGTGGATGACACTACGCTCTGGATTGTGTCACTCAATAATTTACTGGTGTCTTGCAAGATAACTTGTAATTTTGCAATGTAATCTGATTTGTCCATTAGCATTCATCCCGATCCTTTATCAGGTTTAGAAAGAATAAGATCGGGATTTAACCTCAATCCTTTGATTACTTCTCGATGCTTCTTGGAGAGAATGTTTGATGGTCTCTTCTCGCAGCGTAGATACTGTTGATAGAGGTGCACTAAGATGATCTTGAAAGTGTCTCTGGCCAGAAAAGAAGTAGGTGTTAATTCACCTAGTTAGTGCATTAAGTTTTCAAACTGCGTTTCTATTTGAACCTGTCCACTGACGCGTTGGGTAAGACATAATTTTGGTCCGAGGGATAATGCCTCAAGCCGAAGCTGATTCGACGGTATCTTGTACAAATTATGCACGCAACTCTCTGGATTGCGTGGGAATTTCAGTTCCGTTTGCGTTGGATGCAAGCTTTTTAGGAGCTTTGTGTACTTCCTTTCTTGTACATTTGTGTACACGTTTTGCAAGTATTGCTTAAAAGATTCACGCTGGGTTGTATCAAGCGATCAGGTACTTTTTCTTTGAATCTAGGGACAACCAACAATTCGCTCGTATACATCACATTGACTTCAGCTGCCTTGAAGGTATTCCTGTAGGCTTGCATCAATCTTCTTGTACAGATCCCAGCCGCTTTGTCACTCTTAAAGGGGATCTTAACGAACAATTGTTTTTTCTCACTGTCCTTGAGAAATTCTTTGTTAACTAAAGCTCTTTTCAAGTTGAAATAGGTGAAAATCCGGGCGTGTCAGATCTGGTGAATAGGGTTTATAAAGGAGAAGCTCGAAGCCGTCATCATGGATTTGTTCTGAGTAATGGAAGAGGCGTGAGCTGGAGCGTTGTCTTTGTGACTCCTCTCGTCAGCTTTTCTGGTCTGTTCCCGAATTTTTTTATCTGAGACATCTCAGAAGCTCACACTAATACTTTCAAGGAAATCAATCGTCAACACACCTCGAAAATTCAAAAATACGGATGCCACCATGCCAGCTGATGCCGTATCTTTGACCTTCTTTGGCGTAGATTATGCACGCTTTCATTGCTTCGATTATTCTTTTCTTTCTGGTTGAAAGTGACGGACCCTGCACTCATCCATAGTGAGGAATCATGCAAGAAAATTATTAGTTTTGCCTCAAACAGTTACAAATTGTCCTTTGACATCGCATGTCGAATGTGCTCCTCCTCAGAAGTCAGAAGACGTGGTACCCATCGAGCAGAAACTTTTGAGTAGCCTAACTCCTTCGTCAGAATATTATCTCCTGACTCCCGAGAGATGCCCTACCTCTCTGCTATCTGACTAGTTGCTAGTCAGCGATCTTGCATAATCATATCCACTGTTAGGTCAAGATTTTCTTTGGTGGTAGCTGTTGACCTAGGCTCATCTATACTCTTTCTGTCGCACTTGAATTCTTGCACCAAACGTTTAACTGTGGCATACGAAGGAGCATTGTGCTACAATGTACTGAGCTTGTCGTGGTGAATTTCAGTTGGTTACACTCTTTCAAGATAGACATATTTGCTCACTACACGATGCTGCAATTTCTCCATTTCCCCAAACT